AATTCTAGTACATAATTACTTTACATTTAACGAGATATGTTTCTCAAGATGGGACTCAAAAATAAGAAACGACGAAATATTAGCTGGGAGAGTAACGCGTGACGATGTTACCTAAATATAATACTTTAGAAAAAAGAAAATTACCCTAATCATTGCCACGCAGGTTTTCGCCGAATGAATTGACGAACACTGAGATCGACAACCGGATAGATGATGTAAGAAACGTGTGAAGTCCTCAGCTGAGCATTCCTCTTCTTCAGGGCAAAAAACAAAACTACGCCGTTTAGTAGATTTTTCTTGCAAATCTGACGTGAACATTCCCTAAAAGACTAAGACTTGCAAAGTCTAAATATTTCCTTAATCCCAAAAGAAGAACCTGGAAATAATGACTGGCTGCACAAGCAGCATCCATCGGTACACGAGCCAGTACTTCACCCTCTTTTGTCTCAAAAATCAAGTTTTCCATATCACTCGCGCTGAAATACAAAAGTCTTCTAACATCAACGGATAGTTTGAAACAAACCTTTTGTACTTCTCAATTATGCATTCGCCTCGTTCTTGGGGTCGGACAGCAGAGTCTGCATCCAGAATTTCCCTAATAATTCTGCTTTTATAAGGGTAACTGATATTTCAAAGTTGTGAAGATGTACCGTAGTCGATGGGGAGAGACGAGTGTAGATATAGCACCAATCATTTGAGCACATAACGGGGGCTAAACATTTGTACATCAACATTTTTCGCGAAATGTTAGAAATTCCTACCCCATCAGTATAAGTAATTTCATCAGCAATTTCTAGAAAATCATCTCTGAGGAGGAGCGAATGTAATGAATCGAAGAGAAGATCAAGTGCAGGTAAGCACCTGGAAGACATCTGTCCCAAACGGAAACGATCTCTAAAATTCAAAGATCATAAGTCGAAGTTCGCCAGAAATAGTATCGTACCTAATCAAAGCTACTTTAGCGATAGCAGCGACCACACGTGTAGTAAAATCCTCATTAGAAAGACGTTTGATCAGGAAAGAGTTACCAAAATCGCTGTCCACATGACTAGCGAATTCCCTAGAAACTTCACTATGAAAGATGAAAAGATAAGGGATAATTTTGGTAAACAGTTTTGAGCATCAGATTGTCTTGTTTACCAGCGAACATTTCTATTTTTTCTTTGATCAGTAATCCATTCTACCTAATCATTCAATCAATAATTTATTTACATCAGCTCATTCAATCAACTTTCATTTATTCACTCCTTCCATCCATCC